ACACGACCAGCCTAAGGGAAGTGACCCACCAACCTGTAGCTAGTCCTTACAGGTGTGGGTAGCACTTTAATCAGGCGCCGAATTGGGTAAAGTCGACTAGGTTTATCCTTCTTCACTTTTGCAGTATCGATTGGTATTTAGGCGGAGGGAAAAGGGAGGAGGGCGAATGAATAACAATCAGGTCGTTAGCATCGGCAGGTTCATGTGACTCGTATGCACAACATAATCCGCTATAACGAAATTCTATGGTCAGGTATCGAAAGAGATGATGCCTGACTTCGGTGAGCGCAGCATCCCGTTTCGAACAGCTGAAGTAAAAGATTGAAATGCCCAACCAGCAAATTAGTTTTTTGGGCGTTTGAGCCAGAAACTTTTCCCATTTTTCCAACTAGATTTAAACAATTTTTGCAAAAGTTTTCGCATTGGCGCTTAGTTAAATCGCCAGTTTATCGGATGAAATTTTTCTTTTCTTCCTCCCTCTTTTACAATATTTATAAGGATTCAGCAGAAAGTTGGCCGAAAGAAAGAAAAATATATATATAAAGAGAAAGTGCGGGAGAAGGTCCAGACACAAGCACGAACTAGTAGTAGCTCAGGTGTCAGTGACAGTATGGAGGACAGTACGATACGTGACTGGAAATCGGAGGTGTGCGGCAATCACATGTATGCAACTCGCGCACGTGCGACCTATCTCGGTCACGTCCTACCTAACAAATCAGCAGAAAGACTGCAGCACTTTCCCCTCTCCCAAATTTCCAAAATGGATTATTTCTATAACCAACCCTTTCATTCTTTTCTTTTACCGTATAAGACACCGAGACGAATACAATTTCTGTAATTGCTTTAAAATGAGGGACAAAAAACATTCATTATCGTAATTTAGGGCCTCTTAGAAGGGCGTGTAAAGCTTGCCGTTAACAATAGGAGCCCGTAAATATCGATTAAAGGAGCTTTCGTTAAGGTTGGAGGCCCTTCGAAACGTTAGTTTATAAAATAGCGCGTAAAGGAAAGAGGCCCTCCGTTAAGGAAAGTCGATTATGTAGAAGGGGAGCCTGTGCGACGAAGGAAATATTTCAAAGAAGACAGCTTCTCCCCGATAGGGGGAGGAAGAAAAAACTGACGGTAGAAGGATCTATTGATCGGATATTTAACATCCGGGTTATTCTCCAACCGGTTTTCGGTTGGCGTGACCCAAGGACGAACTTGCAACTCTACAACAGGCAAACTCTCTTACCCGACTTCCAAGAGACTTTTCTTTACACCAGAAAGGTTAAAAATTTCGCTTCCTCCACATAAATTACAGAAGGGACACGGTCCAGGCCTCCTGTTTTCAATTTTCCGCTCCCTCTCCTTTTCTGTCTATGCTTTCCCTCCCTAAGAGCTAGCAAAAGAACTCCCGCTGTTTGTCTACCAAGGTGTGGTGGTTCCCCGCTGTGGTTTCTCGAAACTGCTTGTACCTTACGTCAGATGGCTCTTCCCCAAATTAAAAACGGGCGGAGATGGACTCTATCGAATCTCTCATAAAAGGGAAATTTTCCGTGACGTCGACACTCGTTTCCTAATGACGACTTTTCCTGGAGGAAGTAACGCGTTACGGAAGTTATCCCATAGAGAGAGAATGAGAGAATATCCGTAGAAGAGCACGACAGCTGAAGCGTAAAGAATTCCTACAACTAACGAGGCCCTCTAAATCAATGGGAATGCCTACAGAGCTAACTAATGCCTTTTTTACGAGTGGGTGAAATTTACCTTCTCACAGGGCAAGTTCCGAATGCAGCTAGCACATTTCGCGTATTGTCAGCGAGCTTTTCCGTTCGTACGAAAGGGAGAAGGCGTTAGTGACAAATGCGGGACGATACTTATTAACATACTTCGCGGAACGGGCCCTGCGGCCACCCCCACGCCAACGAATAGAAGAGCTCTCTCTACCACCCATTGCGAAGTGAAGTGTGCAGTTATTGATGTAGAGTGGGAAACTGTGGAGCTTTCTGCCATCAAACCTAAACCATAGCGTAAAGAATGGAATAATTACATATCAAAGGGCTCATTAGACTTTCACAGCAATTTTTTAGCAAAGAGGAACCACCGACAAACACATTGGATGCAACCGTTCATTTATAAAATTCAGAATTATTTCGAAGCAAATATATTTTCTACAGAACGAGAAATTCGCCTTTCTTGATTTATTCGACCAAATTTCAAGTGAGAAAGCTGCAGTTGACCCTGTCGACGCCTCTCTGCATGTAGAAAGGCATACCACCTGCACAAGTTCTCCATTACAGGCTATTTTAATGCTAAACCCGTGCTAGATAATTGTTGTGTGTGCTTTCCCAAACATTCTATCCTAATGGAATGTCACTTTTGGGAGGGTTAGTAAAAGATAAGCACACCAGAGACACATTGTAGTGAATGCGCGCGCTCTACCCTTCTCCCTTTCCGTTCAGACGTCAGATAAACATCTCGCATTTTGTCCTTTATCGAAACAAGGAAAGAAATATATATATAAAGTATATATCGAGTTATATTTTACACTTTAAACAAGACGAAATTCTCAAGAAACGTCGTAAGAAAATTTTAACTTTTCCTTTGTAAATGTTCATATATCGATAGAAGAAGCGCCTATTTAAGCAACCAGCCTGAACCAGAGGCCCTCTCCTCTGTCCGGATACCATATAAAAGTTAAATTAATCGTTAATATTCAGCGTGAGAAAGCTCATTTATTATTCTAATGCCGTTTGCCGAATACTCTGAAAATTCTACCGAAACAATTTATAAATTAGCAGAAGCAGAAAGTTCACGTTAATTATTTTTGGATAGGTGAAGCAGTAAGGCGCGATTCCCAACGTTTGTTTACGGTCCCTTCACCAACGACGTAAAGGTGGCAAATTAGGATTAAGTCGATCGTTTTCTCGGTGTTAATTACTCGCGCTACATTCCCGGTTTTTCCTGCAAACTTATATAAACTTAAGTCAATAGATAATGGACTCGATTATAATCAAATCATATAGAATTTCTTCTACAATATTTCCACGGTCGTAAGCGGGGGTTTTTCTCTAAAAGCTCTACCGTTATCTGCTACAGACTGGTGGTGGAACACGCATTTCACTCCCAGCGTGCTATCCCTTTTTTCCCTAAAACATTGCTGAAAGATAGACGATGTATTCTACATTAGAAGGGAGACTATAAAAGAGAAAATGTGTCCCTCCAGAGAGCTATCTTTTGCCAAAGATGCCAAACTATAAAAGCCAAGAAGGGCAGAATTCTCCATAAACAGAGCGAAAGGTTCTCGGATGCTGGGAGTGTTGGGTGGGCAGAAGACGGAGTTGGCAAAAACAGGAAGCGTGCAAAGTGCGCACGAGGCAGATCGTACCTGTTGAATACCGGCCAGAGGCATTACAGACCTTCGTCGGTATAGATTTTACCGTGATTTATTGTCTGCCGGTAAAGTGACAGTAATCGCACCCGTGCGGTCAACCGAACCTATTACCTCATTCAAGTCCCTTAGGCTGCACATGGCCATACCGGGACGCATCCCTCGCTAGCGGAGTATCACCGACACAATGCTTTTGTATTCCCCACCGTCTCACTCTGCTTCTCTAAACGCATCAGATAGCTTCTTTCTTCTCCCTTAACCCATTTCGCTTTCTGAAAGAGATTGCATCTTCCTGTAGGGCCTTGGGGCTTTGCTAAAAGATACAAATATAGCCCGGCCATATTATTTTTACTTTGGCCGTGCGATTATGCTATATCATAATCGCTCACCGGCTTCTGGCGAAGGGCTGCTTTTTATACTGCGAGATGTTCGAATCTCAGCAACAGTCAGGCAAAAAAAAATGAAAAAGTACTAGAAAGAAACGAGCATAAAGTGGACGCATTCCACATAATTTGTGCTCAGTAGCGCGGCTGCATTGTTCTAGAGAGGCATTTTTTCTTCCTTCCTCCCTTCGTCCCGCCCAAATGGTTCGCGGAGTCCATTCGACATTCCACTCGGGGAAGTCCAAGTTGCTTCCTTTTTTCTCTCCTTTTTCTCCGTCGGGGAAGTGAAATTACCGGAAAGAAGCGGCAGAAAGCCGGCAAAAAATCCCACTACTTAATGGGAAATGTAGCCAATGAGCCGTTTCATCCAAATAGGTGTACAATAACAACGTGGAAGGAGGAGATTGTTGTCCTTTCCTTCTACTTTTCTTTACTTTTTAACTCTCCTCCCGATTTTTAAGCGATTTTCTACGGATTTCTGCATTCTCTCCAACCTACGTAAGCGTGCCGCCGCATCCCAATGACGTCACGCCTAGGTCGTCTCGTCCCGACCATCCGGGACGCGCGACGGGATGATTTCCATCCCTCGGTGGGCCAATAGCCCTTCCTCTTACACTTCCACCCTCGCCACACGTCAAATTACAAAAAAATGCAAATTCTCTCGCCGTCTCCCTTCTATATAGGCTATACCTTTTTTTTGTCAAAACAAATTTCTTCGATTCTCCGTCTTTCGGGTAGGAAATTGCTAAATTAGGTTCCTCTAAATTACAGATGTTGTAAGAGATCCTCCCAACTGGAAATTGCTCGGGGGCCTGTGTTTACTACCTCACTATCGGTTATCTGGGGGAAGTCTGCTGGCGTTTCCCATTTGTTCGGGTTTTTCCCGTTGGGTTACGCCGGTCGACAACGCTGTGTTAAACCTCTGACCTCGTAACCATTGCGAAAAAAATGGAGAAAAATGCACGGGTTAAGCTTGAATAAATGAAAAAAATGAGCCACGTCTTTACTTGTACAGAGAGTGCTGTTAGAAAAGCGTGGCGGAGAAGTGACGCGGAAGCAATTCCCTTATTGGATACAAATGGACATAAAGGCCAATCTGTCCAAATAGCTTGTGGAGAGAGCGAGAGTAATCGCTCTCGACTTCTCCGCAAAGATGTCGACAAGTGCAGCTGCGAAAATTACACGACCGACACTTACACAATTTTCTAGAAAGGGGAGGAAAATAAATCGGAAAAGACATTTACCTGGTCGGGAGTAGAGGCACTGTCGCTACTGTTATGACCCGATGTGTCGAGGAGGCCCCTGTGTCCTCCACCTCCGGTTCCTGTATGGTTCCCTCCTCCGCAGTTGCTGCTACAGTTGCTGTTGTTGTTGTTATCCCCCAAATCTCCGGGTTTTCCGTCTCTTTCATCTATAACCAAGTCTATTGGCATCTTTCCCTTCAGACAGCTTATATATCTCTGGCAGAAGTTATCACACAACTCGTGCACCTGAAAAGGAAGAAATTCAGATAATCACCATTCACGGTTTTGAATTATGGAAAGGGGATAAACCCGCTTTCACTTCCATCCTTTGCTTCTCTCTTTCTCTTTCCGTATCTTTCGCTGCAAATTGATGAAGTGCAGCAGTTCCAGATTGGTTATTCATAAATATCGATAGGTGTAGCAGATGGTGGCATCGTTAGGTCCGCAGCGGTTAAGCTTGTTGAATTTATATTATCGAACAGTTTTGCGCTCTTTGCTTCCATTCTACGCGGGTTAAACTCGAATTTCCTTTTTTCTTTCCTACAAAATTTACTTTAACCTTATATAAACTGCCCAATTGCTATTAATATTTATTAGTGCATCCTATGCAGCCGTTAACATTTAATTACACGTTTAAGAAGCTAAACGTTAGAAAATTGTTAGTATAACACCGTTACGCTGCTAAAACTAGTCATTTATAACACCCTGAGCGAGAAGGACCCCAGGGAACCAGCGATTTAAACAGGGTCCAACAGCCAAGCCATCTGGGTAAGGGCGTGGCACGACAAGGAAATTTTAAAATCGCAGTCTCTAAGGACAAGAAGGAAGGGGGAAACGCGCCAATTAGGTCCCTAGAATAATTCATCAAAGCTTCAAACAATGCTTAATTTTTATTTTTCCTCATTTCTTACTATAACCAGAAGAGGCCTGGCGCAGTTTTCTTTTATTTTGGTGAGTAAAGTTTATCTAAATTTTCCAGAATAAAATAAAATACAAGTCCAACACCTGGTTTAGATTGTGTAGCACGTTCGTAAAGCACGCATAGACGTAGAAGAAGAAGGAAAAAAGAAAGGTCCCTCCCAGATCGCGAGAGCCCCTTAGGAACACAACAGAACCGGCGATGTGACAATCACTATAATCATGAGGGCTAATAATTGTAGCCCTGTTGGCGAAGGCCAATCAAAAGCAGAAAGAAGCACCTGACGAGAAAAACGTTGATAATTAGACGATTGTCGCCCCCTAAAATAAAGAGGAGGACTTACGGAGGGCTTTAAAAGTAAGATCTGAAATAGGAAGGAAGAAGAAGGAAAAAAAGAGGAGGCACGAGTGCGATGCTATCTTGATTTTTCTCTTTATAATAACAGGACGAGTTAGATTAAAGGCTCTTTTTGGCGTACGAGGGCTGATCCATCTTAGTCTGAGCGAGTATGAGGAGCATGCGCCATGTAGTTCGGATCGCTTGTGTAAAACAGGCGTTTAATTATCGCGATGGAGGAGGGGGAGAAGTGACGGGCTTTACTAACCACCCATGCATGACCCCGAGGGTCGCAAGGGTCGTGAGAGCTGTGATTCAGTCTAGCTCGAATTCAGACATCCGGGTGGGCCCTTCACTTAATCGAAGTCGTGATGAATCGCTAGGCATAGGCAAGGCCCCGACCAGACGCAAAACAACCCGGATGAGAGCAAACACTATCTGATATTTATATAACGAGACGACGACTCTCCCTCTAAGTTCTGGGGGCCAATTAATAACAATAACATCCTTACGGTGTTGGCGCCACGTTTAAAATGAAATTTCTTCCTTATTTAATTCCTTTTCTTTGGCTAGAAAATTACATAGTTTTGTAATTCGGAGAGAGCGAGTGACGTTCTTCTTTTATTCGCCGCTTACATCTACCTAATCACAACTTTCACTGCAGCTCCTTTATTGCGTAATTAAGTAGAAGTTAGATAGAACGATCGCCAATTTTAGAGTCACTAACACGTTTAAAAAAAGAAGAAAAACACAGCCAACAGCGTAGGAAAGAGGGTGGAAAGATCCGACTTATCCGCGCACCCCTTTTCTCTTAATCTCTCGAAGACCAACAGTATCTATTAAGCTATACATAACAGGATAAAGGGGAGGGTAAAACGACTTTAAAACGGGCGTACGGATTGGCAAGAACCCGATTTGTGTAGAGGCCACGACAAAATCCAAAAGTCCTTGACTAAACCCACTCGTGTCACGGCTCTCTTGTCACCTGACTGGCAGCCAGCCATCAAAAAGAGACACCTACTCCACTCCTCTGGAAACAACACCACTTTGTATCCCGAATACAAAAACTCACTTGTTTCCACCGAACTGTTGTCAGGGATAACAAGATGCTTCACTTTCCCTCCTGTAACTGCAGATTACAATTTAGATATTTTTAGATGCCCGAATTATGAACAGGATCCTAAACGCATCTTGCCAATTTTCCTGGGATTGGTCCAATTTGAAAAACGAAGAGCATCCGTAAAGATTTATTCTCCATTTGTTGTCATAATTTCTTTCAACGATGAAATAAAAGTTATTTATGACGCTCCGCCAGAGTCTCTTTTTCTAGCAAAAAAGAAGATAAGATGTAGATAAACGCTTAATCTTAGATAATTTGTTTAGACTCGATCCAATTACATTAATTGCTCATAAAGTCGGGTTTAGGAGGTGCACATTCTTTGTCCGATTATAAGACTCTTTTTATTACTTTCTAGATAGGCCTTGCATTAGCTTGCCTAGTTAGGTCGAAGCCACCCAACAAGCCCTACTGTTTCACAACTGTTGGCACTCTATCGACGAACGTTTGGCTTTTTTCCCTCCTCCTTTCTTTCTCTTTAAGCCAAGGTATCCCGTAATTAAGCTATCCTTTAATCTAATCTGAGTAGTCCCCTCTGGTCGTCTCACGCCTCCACCCACAAATTAACTGGACTGACACTGGCACTAACTTGGAGACGTTTCGTGTGCCGTAGAACACGTCATCGACGTATCCTACGGAGCAACGAAATCGAAGCAAACAAAGCCTTTAAAGAGGACCACCTAGGGATAATTTAAACGATCGAAAATGAATTTCGAGACTTCATTAATGTAAATTGGGAGAGAGGGCCGAAAGACAGATGTTTTCAATATTCGTTGTAAGCAGGTGGCACGTTTAGATTCGTGCATCCTCCATCTTGTTTGATGGCTGCGTGTTTGTTGCGATTGCTCTTTAATCGACTGCGGCAATTAACTCATATTACTGTAAGCAACAACACTGCAAACCGTCATTAAATCTGCAATCATACAGTCGCAACCGATAGCATCCCCAAAATTTCAAATATGCCTCGTCCTTGTAAAGGATCTGAGAGATAACTGCACTCGACAGCGTAATGTTAATATTCCAGTTTAGTTTAGCATCTCCTTTTTTCAAGAGGGATAAAGCCATTTGCGGTTTTAAGGGCTTCGGTGGATAGGGACTTGGCTGCAGTTAATATATTTGCAAGAGGGTTATAAAGGCACAAGTGCAGTCTGGGGACTTTTAGGGCCATGTGTGAAACCTGCCATTAAGTAGTTAAGCCTCTGATTAACGTCGTTTCGATAATTATATGTATTTGCTTCTTTCTAGATCTGTGTGTTCCCAACTCATCATTATCGCTTGGGACCACCTCGGTTTCTCTTCTGTTCACTAAATACTAGATAGTTTCTGCTTCCTTGTTGGACCCGCTGCTGATTACTCTTGCCAAAATTCGTCGAGAAAAAGCATAGGAAAGAAGCGGTAACACAAAATGCGGTCATCCCCCTTTAAAAAAAGTCAATGTAACTGGTTAAAAAATGGTTTAAATCTGTGGAAAAATCTTGAATTCAATAATTAATTTACTGTATTTGCATTTTCTATTATTACCTTTTCTAATTCTAGTAGATGAAACCTCAACACTTGAATGGCTTGGACCATCTGGAATATAATAACGTACAGCTATAACAAAGTAATTATATGCTCGCGTGTACTGCATATAAGATATATACAAATATACATCTTACATTATCAAAATTTCATCTGTGATACGAAATTTTGACAATGAAAAATTAATGTGAAGTACTTTCTAAGCTCATAACTTGGCCCTGGGAAGGTACACATAGTCCTAATCCTGCTAGAATGACATCATTGGGATGACGTGGAGGATTAGAATGACTATGACCCATCGTAGAGAAGAAAAGAGCAGTGGTGGCGCAAATGAGTAAAACTCATAAAATTTAAGAGTTTGAAATTTATAATATTATCAATTTGAATCTGATTATTATAGCGAACTTTTAAGGGATTCTCTGATGCCAATTATCGGAATAGACGAAGTCCCTGCTATGCTTTTCTTCTCTTATCTGCAGGAGATGCCTTACAAACTCCTAAATATCAACTCAGCGAAACTTCCTACGTTCGATGATACCTCTAGTGCTTTTCTTTTTTTATCGTCATCTCCCAGGGCCTTCTGTTACTTACCCAACTTGTTTGACCTCAATTAACTACATTTTAAGAGCCTGAGGTCTTTGGATGCAGTCTAAACATCGAGAGGGGGCCTGGTAGGTTACGGGGGCCTTTTTCCTACCTTTATTCAGAAATCAGAAACATAAATGCAGAAAATATATGTAGAAAAATACAATTAAAAATTCTTGACCGAATCTTGTCTTGGTGACATCCAATCTTATATTAAAATAAATATTGAGTCCATTTATACTTTATAATGCTTTTAATTATTTTCTGGCCCTTTTATTTCATTGTTTAATGGATTTAAATGATTCAAGAGTATCGATTCCATTAAAAAAATCATTTAAATCCATAGGAAAATCCTTTAAGTCCTTTTCGTGGGTTTAAATTAAATTCATAAAAAAAAAGACCTTATAACACCACGTTTCATAGATTTTAATTAAATTCTTCTATTTAAACCCACACAAGAAGGATCGTTTAAAGACCCTTTCTACAGATTTTTGCTTAAAAAAATAAAAAGAAATCATTTTTATATAAATATTTGTCTTAGGAAATTAATAAGATTGGATTATATGCTGTTGCCATTTTGTTTAGATTAAATCGAATTGAGAAATCGTCTTGAATCGATAAGAAAGTATCATATGCTTAATTTTGAATAAACAAAACTGGTGAAAGTACTTCACTGGTTACAACTAAATTCCCAGAAATAATCATTGGAATCATTTGATTTTATTATTATTAACATTACATACTTTTGTATAATTCATAAAATGCATTAACAACAATAAAATGGAGGAAGCATAGCTCTAATAGTGTCCGGTCGATGCTAATTTTAAATTATAAACAAAGAGTTCAAATTTCTCTATTGCTTAATCACGTACAAGTCGCGTATTACGTACTGTCATAAGCTATGCTTCTGTAGTAATAAATATTAATATATAAATAGAATTTGAAATTTTTTGGTAAAAGTTAATTTTAAGTCATTATTTGCCAGTAAAAACTATGTAAAGTTAACTTCTACCAAGTAGCATACTCTTGTTTTAAGACGTGGTGGCTTTATACGTAAATTTATTGCTTTTATATTTGATTAAATTAAAGAGAAAATGTTTTTAAAACAAACAGAATTGCATTACAGATTGTAGGAGACGATTTCTGACTTGTGGCATCTAGAAACACGCCTCGGGTCTTTAAACTCGTGTTTAGAATATTAAAAATTGATCTTTAAACACTGAAAGATTAGCATTTTCCAGTTAAACTCTAACTGTATCCGGTAAGAAAATATAATATTTGATACTTCTGATGCGTCTGGAGTAACCTTAACTCCTGGAAAGTTGAAAAATAAAAAACACAAGCCACCACACCCAAAAAGACACAGTATACTACACATAAAACATTAAAAAACAATTTGGTTTTGACTAGGAAAAAATATATAATATTTTCACTTACATCGCTGGGAGAGCCTCAGAGAAAATAGAACTAGAAATTCATGCTACTATACTACCAAAGAGCGATATATTTAATATTATAGAGGCATAAGCATGCATTGAAGAAGAGAACTACTTTATTAGAATGAGCTTCCCCGGGGTTGACGGGATGCTATCCACACCAGATGCCTGTCGGGTGTTACTCTACTCAATTTTCACCTTCTTATCTTCTGCAATGATTCATGGTAGCTGCTGCTTTCCTACCATGGAGTAAGCGCAGCTAATGGGCGTCTCTTTTCCCTCCTTGTATATACAGAATGCATTATTTACAACAACTGCTTCTCCGGATGTAAAATTGTTATTGTTAACAAGGAGAAATGAATATGAGCTAGCATTTTTTCTTTCTTCTCTCTTTCCTGTTCGCTCGTTACGTGATGAGAAATGTTGCTTTGTTATTGCAATTGCATTTTTGTGTTGGGAATGTGTAAGTATCCGATAACGCTATAATGAGGGAGAAGTTCGGTAATCGCCGAGGATTTTCTCACTGAAATTGGCTGTTGATTTGTTTTATAACTGCACAAGTGCAGTTAGCTTGTTTTGCCCGATGGGAAATTGTTCTAGTGTCGTTTTTATCTCTCCCGTCTTTACTTCCCTTCCCCCAAAAGACTAAATTTACACGTCCCTCGTTCCGTAGCTCCTACGGCTCTAACTATAATACCACATATGTTAAACCCGTTACCCAGCTTCTTGCACGCCAGAAACGGCCTTTTTTCAACGTTTTCGATCCGAAACGTTGGCGGGGATGGCGTAATACTGTATGTTTTGTCAGAGCTCGGGGTATAGACAAGCCGAGCCGCCACCCCTACGCTATCGAGCCGCTTTTCTAGCTTTTCCAACGTCTGGGGAAATGGAAAAAAATATATAAAAAATTTCTTCATTCGAGCCAATTCAGACAAACACCTCGAACTGGTCCAATATTCTCTATATATTTCTCGTTGAGTGGGTCCTGTCACCTACACATGTATCTATTATATCCATGTCAGTAGCACCTGACGCTGTAGAAGTCGCACCGCGATCAATAAGCATGCTCGCCCAACAGTAAACCATTACATGGATAGCAGAATAGAACACCAGTTAGCCCTCCATATATAATAACAGAAAAGAGAGAGAGAGACAGAGAGAGAGTAGGAGTGAGAGAGACAGAGAGAGAGGAGTGGAGAGAGAGAAAGAGAAGAGAAGGGGAAACAAAAAAGCTAGGAAATACTTACAAGGCTGTCTAACTCGGGATTTGGTACGTAATATGGTTTTTCCTGTCTAATCTGCAACGGTAACAAATAAAAAAGCAAAAGTAAGACCAAACGACACTAAGACAGAGTACAAGAAGAAGATACTTACTAGAGTGTCTAATTCTTCGTCACAAGTGTAGGGTAGGTTTTCGGTCATGATCTGAAAGTTGAAGAGAGAGTTTCAGCCCGAGATCGCTAAGGGATCTCTCTAGGCTACTCTTTTGTGTATTCTGTTTCAAACTACACCCGCCCGAAAACACATTCTTTTTATTTATTTTTGTTTTTTTAGATACAGACCGAATTGTGTCTACGGTACATTCACATCCCACCTCACCTGCGTGTTTTTTACACACTTATACCGTTCATTTTAGTGTTTCATAACCGAATTTTCACCACTTGTAACTCGAATGTTACTTAATTTTCTTTATAAAATTTGATATTATACACTTATCCAATCATAGATTCGGATAAAAAAAGCTTATAATTTCAATTTTCATTGTTTTCTCGTTGTATTTTCATCAAATTAGATGGTGTTTTATTCATAAAATCCTGTATACAACAGGCTTAAATATCAAAAATAACTTATTTTGGTTTGGAATTTTTTCTTTTCTCGTCATTTCTCTTATATAATGTGGTGGTTCAGCTTCGCCAGAATAAATCGAAGGACTTAACAATTTATTCAACTTGCAGCATATAGTTTTTGGTTAGGCTACTTATAGCTTAAATCTCTTCAATAACTCTCCCTCGTTTCGAGAGCTTGTCACACCCGAAACTCGCTCTTAAACACGAAATATTGTTTGGATTTTTTTAACACCGAAGGCTACTAGCATCCCTAATTAGGCCTATACTTAAATAGAATAAATTGAAAGATTTACTTCGATAAATCTTGTCAAAGCACGGCTTAAATGTCCCAATAACTCACTTGACAGGAATTTCTCACACCCGAAACTTGACTTAAACACGAAATATTGTTTACTTTTTAGCATTCAATCGCCTACATTCTCAATTACTAAACTGGCAAGTATGTTGCAGATTTAAGCCCTCCTTATACAACTGCAGCTACATTTTACTTGAACTTGGTGATAATTCCTTGTCTTTATTGGAATTTTACGTATATAAATCTTTTTGCTGCATTACTTTACATTTAAGAAGCTATCTGCATGTCGAAAGACGTGACTCTACATACCTTCTTCGTATCTTAATTTAGCTGCGTATAAACACAAAAGTTCAAAGATATTGACCAAAATTGTCATAACTTAACACCGGTAAACGTGAATCATTGATATTATTTGATACCTTAAAGCTAACTTAATATCTTTCTTCTAGAGATTCGCTTAATTTTAAGGCAAAAATATAAGTTAAATTTTAAAGAATAAAGTTTATTTTACTGATGTAAATCAAAATATTTACCGCCACATCCAATTACACCCATATTTTACTGTAATTCTTTACCTCCGAAAACTCCAATCGAGAGATTCACAAGCTGAAAACTTGATTTACACGCGAAATTGTAGCTTTTATTCTTAAAATTTAAATAATTTCTCTCCTATACATGAGGTTTCATTGATAGATCAAACTATTTACTCGCCACATCCTTTGCTGCAATTCTTTAACCCCCAAATTTCAAACAGGCATTAAATAATTTTATTTCTCAACATCCTCCTACTTAAATCTTTAATTATAAAGTTAAATTACATCAAAATAATAAAATTTTCTTGTTTTTAACGTCCACAACACCTTGGCGGGTCTTAAATTCGTAGCAACAACTTAGATTTTGAAGCCTTTCTAATACAAAATATAATTAGAATTGGACGAGTAAACCTCGATTTATAATGGCTTAGCATCACCAGGATTATAATTTATCCATAAAAAACATGTTTAAATCATACTTTACGGCTTTAAACAACGATCTTAAACACTATTTTCTTCCCCTCCCTTAACTAAATTCATTTCCATCTGCACCAGATAGTGAGCATAAGGCAAAGAATAGACTCGAAATTCTTTTTTCTAATGTATAATTTATTCCGATAAGGGCTTACGCGACTTCATTAATGGCTTTGATAGCAAGAAATAAGATTTTTCTAATCTATAAAAGGGTAGAGAGGAGTCGAGAGACGAAGGGAAAAAAAAGACTTTTTAATTAGGAATATTCTTGAAGAAACAAAGGGATTAATCCAGTAGTTGGACTGTAGATAACTTTATTAATACCTGCTAATTATCTATAAAAAGATTAGATCTTATCTAAAAATACTTATCTAGATAATAAAATTAATTATCATCATCCAGATGGTGTTTTTTCATTTTTTTAATTTAATTTCCACCGTGGAAAAATGAATAATATCTTCACTGTTAGGTGTTCGTGGCATTCTACGCCTTCTGTCAATTAAAATTTGCTTTTTAAAAATATCAATTAGTTACATTCTCTAAATTTAAATGTCTTTCTATACTTACAAGAGTTTAAATTTTGTATTTTTTAATCATTTTTTGTACCAGTCAAAGTCGAAATTCCTAAAGAAGGCAATGGTCTAGTTCTAAAACATTAAAAACTTATTTTTTCAGGTGGAAATTAACCTGGAGGAAGCAAGGATCTAGTGTTAAGTACTGTGCAATTGTGTTAAGTAATGAATTGTAAGAAATTAAACTATTTATAAATATTAAGTGGGTTTTATAAGATAATAGAATTAAATTAGACCTTCTGAAACGTTCAAATTTGGTACGCAATTAATGTAAATATTTGTTAAATATAAAATTAAAAAGTGAAAGTTTACGAACCTAAATGGTTCAAAGGTGAGATTTATTTATTTTTATAAATAATTAGAAATTTTATAATTATTCTGTTATATGATCTATAAAAATTCAGCTTTAAAAAGTTTTAACTCACTTGTTAAAAATGATAAGTTTCCGGATAAAATATAATTTTGATTGGGTCTAGAGGCTCCCGAGACATAAAAATGGCCGAAAAATACACAAGGCCTTTTAAAATCAACCTTTAGCCACTTAATCGCTTCAAATTGAAGAATATAGGAAAAATGAACGTACAGTAGCTTAAAGGGTCTTTCGGTTACTTCAGTTCTTTAAAAGTTTTTCGGCCAGATACTTTAAAGAGCCTTCTAGTTGTTCAAAATATTCTTTATAATTATACATAAAATTTGTCCGAGATATCTTTTAAGGGCCGTAAAAATCATTAAAATACACAAAAAGCGAAAGAAATCTTAAGAAAATAAAATTCGAAAGGGCCTTGTGTACGCTCGTATCTCATACAATTTATTTTAGTTCGAAATTATTTTCAAAAAGTATATATAAACAAATAGATTTGTAAAAGTAAACAGAGCAACAGCTGCAATCTTACATTTTCCCAGTCTCTCTCTCTGAGTAAATTTGTTTAACCTCTAAGTCATATAAGCAATTAAATTTAGCATATTTAAATTGAAATAAATTCAAAATTTTCAACCTTTTCCTTCCATATTTTCTATCGGAAAATGGCGACGAACAGTTCAAAGTTTCCCTTCTCCACTCCTCCAGATCAGACTTTGAGTCGAGTTTTAAGCGTGGTGTAAATAAAAACACCAGCTTCATTTACGGAAATATCATTTTATAATTAACCAATTAAGCTATTTAATGCTTTAAATTTATAAAAATTCTTAAAAAGTATTCCAAAGTGGAATTCCACTTGTTTTAGGATAACTCGGGCTCAATTAGAGAAAATAGATAATGCTGACGATAATTACAGAAGATTGATAGGCAGAGATAATAGAAGTACGCTTAAGATAATATCGACATCTGTCAAATTTTTGATTTTTAAGCCATTTACAGTCAATTTATTAGCATAATTTAAGCAATAACCGATTTTCTCAATTAAACTGCTTCTACGTTGGCCAAGTCAATCAGTTTAAAATTCCTCCAGTATAAGTTAGTTCTATATATTAAACGTAGCAGTTTGGTTACTCAGAATTACTTAGACTACGTTTACTTCAATGGTTCCACTAGAGTAATTCGAATAAACTCTGTTATAAGTGAAGCAAAATGCAATTAAACTAGATTTTAAGTGACGTTTAAGAGATCAAAACGTAGACGAGGAAAAAATACACGCGTATCGGTGCCAAAAGTTTCTTAAAGCTGCTTTGGGTTCAGGTCACAACTTTGACCAAACTTGAACCGGACGACCTTCAACGTTTTACCATATTTAGAACGAATGACAAAGAAAAGGCAGAAAAAAAGATAAAAATGTTTTAAAAACCGGGATATTTCGACGCCAATGTTGAATTTCAAAAAGGTCCCTTTCCACTGTTTTACATTAGATAGAGCCTAGAAAGTGGAGAGGCCCGAGACTGCCCTTAGTCGGGGCCTAAAGATAATATGAAAACTCGAGACATTTTTCCATTCTTTTACATTATGCGGGGCTGTAAAAGGTAGACACTCTTCCATTCCAGGTCTAGAACGTTGGAAAGACGGTTATACTATTTCATTCACCCAGATTAGATAGGGCCTAAGAGATTTTAAAGAGGCCCAAGACATTTTTTTAAAAGCTAGGTACGTCGTAAGAAAGGAAAAGACGAAGAGGACTCTTCGCTCTCTCGTATTAAATAGGGCCTAGGTGGCGTAAGAAGGCCCAAAACAGTAAGGCGGTGTGGTAGGAAAGGTGGCGAGCGAGTAAGTAAGAAAAATCCGATGAACCCAATTATAATCCGGATGAAAAATGGAGAGACGAGGAGCAAGTTGGACAAATAAATCTCCATAAAAGAGGAAGAGACGAAAGCATCTGTCTAAAAACACACAATAAACAGAAGAAAAGTATGAATGGCAAAGGAGAAAAATATAAAAAAGTAAAGATGATGGCGTATCCATCGATTGTGAAGAAGGAATGGTAAAACCCTACGCACATTTAAAATACATCATCGCTTTGGATATTTGCATTTACGAAAGGTGATAAATCATCGACTCTATTAGAAGGGAAGAACGCCAGGGATTTCAGATGCAATCTTGCACTCATCAAATATTTAACTGCGAGCTGACTACGGACTGCCTTTCGGCGTAAACCTGACAGCTTGTATTTATAACACGCAGCATCTCCTGTACATCGTTTAATATTCTCGGTAAAATAGCCAGCGACACAGTCGACAGGTTACGTTCACTCCTTTGCTTCTCCTGACACAACGCGCCACGTTTCTCCTACCTACTAAAGGATTTACTCTAGCTCCTTTGGCCAAATTGCTTTACTGGATATTCTCCCTATATATATCTACTCTGCTCTGGCTCCTATTTCGACTCCTTAATGCTTAATTTACTACGATGATTCTCGAATGCCTTTCGACTTTTGCCATCTTGTTTTCCACCCTCCCATCCAGTTCCACATCCTGTTTTCTGGGATTTGCAACCCGTACGTCTGTTCTAAATCCTAGTTTTACTCCGAGCTCGAACTCTGCTCTTTTACTAAAGGTGACGAGTATTGACCCTAGGGTGTCTTTCTTGCCATGCGTGACCCCCGTTCCTTCTTCTAACTGCCACTTTAACTAAGAGATTTGATTAAAGTAAACTCGCTTGTTAACCGAGTAGCATTCGTTCTGCACGCTTATAAACTCCAATTAGATTAGTCGAAAAATTCCACTAAATACACTACTAAAAATATTCCTATAGTAATTTCAAATCACCCTATTTATCATTTACTACTGTATTAATTTCCATTTTTAATCTTTCCATAAATACGCACAGTTAACGGTTACTCATTAATATTAAACACTCGATAAAAAATATGCTACTATAGCACCCAACTAGAAAATCCGTTTGGTGTATTCATTATAACGCTGGCCATTAGCAAAACAATAAATTATTAAATCAAAACACTGCTAACAGTAATAATGTGTAATATTAAACTGTTACTACAGTAACAAAGTTTTATTTATATAAATACTAGATTAACGATCAACTCCCGAATTGTTACTATAGTAGTTATTGATTGGCCGATCTTTACTGTCTGCTTTTTTCATTCAGGCCTTTTTATATAGCGACAGGCCGACCGCTTCAAAAACCCCCAGAAAACCCTCGTCACTCATTAACTACGATCTAATTAATTACAAATAGTAATTATGTTTCAAAAATCCCTCCATTTTAGACCCCAAAATCGTAGTCTTGCAGCCTCTCTCCACAAGCCTGAAGCGTGTAACACCCTTTAAGTTACTGAAATTCTTTCCGTTGTTGAAGCCGTTTTCTTAAATAAATTACATATATATTTTTTAAAATTTTATCGCTTCTAAACCGATGATAAAGCCGGTATTTATATCTATAGTAGCGATATCAAAGGACGACTTTGATATAGGATAAGGCCTACTATTATTTAATGTATCACTAGCTAGGCCTATTTAGTAAGGCCTTTTTTTAAAGGGGGCACAACCACGCCCTATTTAGCCTTCGAACAAAGAGGGTATTAAGCAAGATGGCCGCGAAACAGTCGAGTGTCAACAGATGATAACAATGTACAGTATATATATATATATACATAACAGAGGATTGCCGTCTCGATTACAACACACAACCTTCACTAGAAAAAAAGAAGTCTTATACATTTTTTTTTTTTTTGTTTAAACTTTACAATAACAGAGAGTTATTTAGAGGTTGAAAACACGTACAGATAGATTTACAAACCATAAAGATTTTCGTTAGGCCCTATCAGGTGCAGTGGAAAGTGTCATTGTTTGCCTTATCTCCCATCAAAGAGCTAGCACAAAAAGATAATAATGCTACAATTCGCTAACCTGTTTAGCAAATACAGCGATGTCCTCGTTAAAAGATTCTGATGAACACACGTCCCCACCTGCAATTCCCGGTTCTCGAGGTGTACAAGTTGCAAGTTCGCACTTCTCGAATATCAGTGCCAGGAGGGGAAAGAGTGGGTGGCTGCAAAATAAAAAAAATCTCTTCGTTAGATAAAGTACAGATCTTACATCTTGCATAACTTACTTCTATAATAATACTGTAAATGTATAAATTAAAGCAACTAAAAGTCGTATTTTGTTATTATTTTAGACGCTAACTCTCACGAATTTTTGTGTATATTATACTCGCATGCACACTACAAATCAGACACGTCTCGCATAACTTTTATATTAATAAAAGTATAAGTAATTGCGACAGAAAGTCGCAGATTCTTACTATTTTGTATGCTAATTTATACACATTTTACTATAGAATACAAGACACATGCACGTTATATCAGGCATAATTTAACTTCTCTATTAATGAAAAACTACTAAATGTAACAAAGGTGCAGCTTCTTTCCATTTTCTAGTCTAATTAAGCACTTTTAGTGTTTAATACATTCACACTTTCTCTTACAGGCCTATTAATAGAAGTGTGTGTAACTAAGTGCAACAGAAAGTCGTAGATTTTGTTATTTTGTATTCTAACTCAAACACATTTTAATGTAGAATGTACTGTACTGTACTCGCGCAGACACACACCACACACACACACACCATTCTCCAGTAACAAACACGCAACATCTAGTGTAACTTAACAAGACAATTTTTGTTTTAAGTCGATCAAATGTCGTCGTTTAAGTTACCAGAATAACCTTTTAAACAAAATTATCTCTTACAAAATACAATTTAATTCTTGTTTAATTACAATTAACAATTTTTTATAATTAATTTACAAAGCTAAATTTCATATAAACACACTTTTTATCCAGGATATTTTTATATATTTAATATACTCCATTTTCTAGTATGAAAGAAGTTGTTGATGCTAATTTAATATTATATTACACGCGAAATAGAGTATTAAATATCTAATAATATAAATATTAAGTCGGTGATATAATTTAAAGCAATATTTGAAATTAATAATAACAATATCTTTTAGAAACATTTTACTTTCAAATTAAAACACCAAAAAATAAGAAAGTAAATTTCTCGTATTAATTTACACACACAACACAAACAAAGGTTTGTCATTTACAGAATTTTATATAATTAAAACTTAAAACTTTCTCTTTACAGATTAAACACAATACTGTGTCTTTCGTAATAGAGTCAACAATACATCTGCTAACAGAAAAACTTTCCTGCTTTAGTGTTTATTCAATATACCAGAAAAGGTTCTAAATTCTCTTTCTCCCTTAGTGTTAACTGCGTTTCGTTCAACTTAGTTTTAGTGTTGGCTTAATAAATTCTCTGCGAATTTGGTGCCGAAATGAATTAATAGAAATGGAGTAATGTCTGAAAATTCCTCCCTCCCTCCCCACTGTGAGCATTCTCTTTTTAAAAGTAACATTATCTACTCGAAACGTGACTACCTGTTGTTTATGTCCTGTTTATAAAGTACTTTCAGGAATTAAGACATGTGTACTAATGAAAAGTCCAGCAAACCCCAAGGTTTTTGTGTCTTCTTAAGTTACAATTCTAAACTAAGGTAATGAAAAGTACAATTAGGCCTGGTTAATCCCTAGATAAACCTTTAAAATTCTAAGAACTAAATAAAGTCTAGTTCATTACACAAATTCCAAAAACAGCAGTTTATACACAGTTATGTATAAATTTAAGTTTATACAGCGATTGAAAAGTGTATTGTAAACGCTATAAAAGTGCAAGGAAGAAGAAGTAATAAGTCTATAAACACTTCTTCATTTATAAGGAACGAAAAAAAGGAACCGAGATAAGCAAGATAATTATAGATAATCACAGTCGGATCAATAATAGAGGCGCTTCCACAACTGCACTTCACTTTCCCTTTTCTACCTTGTTCGAGTTTATACCCTGGCCCTAGGGAGGTCTTATAGAGCCGGTGACACAGTCTAGATGTCTTGTTAATTGCTACCAACAATACCAGAGACGGGATTAAGAAAGTGTCACAGTATATCCCGACTGCACGTCCAGCTTGTCCGGCAAGTGGAGTGGAATCAATGGCTTCTGCAACGAACACTTAAAGTTCTGCTGCCATTTCCAATTGTAAGTCGCTCGTCTAAACTAAACGGATAAAGATTACTTCTTCCCTTTATCCCCATTACGAAGCTGCGGTAGGAGTGGAGAGTCGTAGATGGAAAGAAGTACTGTACCAGGTCTCTACACACCAGTGTTCGGCAGCACTAGCAGCAGCACAAGCAGCACTAGTAACCAAGTGTGCGTGGAATATAAAAACGTACACGTCGTAAAATTTGTATGTCTATCGTAAATAAATAATTAAACTATAGGCTTTATTGCATAATAGGCTCTTAAAATTCATTGCCCCTTTTTAATTTATCGTAACAACTCTTTGGCTCGGATACTGCTATAAAGCGAAAAGGGCTTAAAAAATCCGATACTTAATTTAATTATTGTGTAATCGTTAATTGAATACTTTTACACTTGTCCGTGGTGTTCGAGCCTTTTCCCAGGCTTTGTTTCAATCTTCTTTCCCCTCCGCTCTAACTTAGCTACGATCTGGCCAACTTTTTAGCAACTGGGTGACGTGTAATTGGAGTGTCTACTCTATTACGGCGCGTTGGTTTAGGTCACAGGAAAAAAAGGTTTAACTTACCCGTAAATGGCATCTTTGTCTCTCTTATGAACATCGGGCACGGAGCCCATAACGTGATTGGACATGACCGAAGAAACGTGATTTCCATGATACTGGTGCATGGCAGGCGTGTGATTCATGTGAGGCGCATGAGACAAGGTCTGCATGGACCTGTGGGCGTGTGGATCGTAGATCGAAGCCGGGCCATCCATAGCCCCATAGTGGGACATCGTATCTTCGTACTGCGGGTCAACAAAATCAGCTATACTTAAACCTATAGGGGCACGAACTAGATCAAAAAAGTCGGGTGTTAGCACTTACCCTCTGTGCCATCGGGTTGTTAGGCCAAGCTCTAGGCACGACGTCCACCGGCTAGGCCGGCCCGAAACATCTAAAGTACTACACCCCCGATTCTATCAGTCGATGGCAAACTGATTACGAACGAAAGACGATTAGAGCTAGTGTTAAAAGTTATCACACCACAGTGTCGAGCGGGCCGGAAGCGAAGTCGAGTTAAGGTGACACTATCGAAGTTTTCAACGTCACAGGATGGAGTAGCGGCACCGCTACACCAGCGCGTGCATGGAGTCGACTGACTGCCTCTGATTGTCGGACAATACCACTTCTAGCGTCTGGGTAGATGGCGTGGTTACTTCCTTTTCCAGCTCCGCTATTGGTCGGTGGTGTGTCGGCGCGGCGCGGCGCGGACGGCTTCGCGCGCCGCGCCGGCGCAACCACATCGCTAATGAGAAGATATTCGGACGTGAACTATTTCTGTACTTATTTTTTTATGCCCTCCTCCTTTTCAACGCTATCACTCCCGCTTCTTACCAAGCTGTAACGAAAATAGAGTTGGAACGGCGCTTAAAGAAAGCGGAAGAAAAAAGAAATGAAAAAAGTAAATGGCGAAGAAAGATGATTGCGTCGAGAATGTAGAAGTAATTAGGTACCTTTATTTATACCATTCTCTTGTGTTTTAATGAAACACGCTTTATTTATAGGGTCTTGCCACACCATTCGTAACTCACAACGCTTCTTTGTCTGCCGTTTTTTACCTTCCCTTCTGTTCAAAAGTCAATAGGAATCTCGGATTCGAATCGCATCACACTGCGGCACTTTTATCAGCATTGGACCATGCTGTTAGACCTATATACGGATTCTTTCGGCTATTTTTTCCTTTAACCAGTTTCCTTCTGTAAGAATCTTTCCTCTTTATCAGGTGATTTGATTTCGAAACAATCTACGGGAGGACAAAAACAAACAATAATTATCTTTGCATCGTTTCCTTTTACATTCAACTTCTTGCCGCATTTAACCTGATTTGTTACACGTTGTCAATTTAAATTCTTACTTTGTATAAATATGTGTATGGGATCGATCTTAATGCTATGCAATCGTCGCCTTATGTCGAGTGCACACGGATGATTCGCCCTGAAGAAACACGAATGAAAATATGTAAAAGGCGACCGATAATTTTGGAAGTTTGCGTTATGTAAACGAGTCAAACTCGGAGACACGTCGTGTATAATAAAGAAAATTATGTTTTATTAATCGATTTGCACATATCTTTACATGTACGTGACTCTAATATACATATATATTGTATAAACAGCGAATAGAACTGCACATCACCATGAATATTAAAAATAAAAGCGCATTAATATTTATGACGTCTGCATGACTTTGCCATATTTTCATAAATATATACCATAAGACATTAACACATTTTCGATATTTACGTATGTTTTCCGCAACTTGTCAAATGTTTACAATTATTTTACCCTTAAAAATCTTGAAATTCGAATGGTAAACCCCTTTTTATATACTCGGTGAATGCTTTACCGATTCCTGAATCATTTTGACACATTGTAACGCTGACAGTGATTGGTCGATCCCCTTTGCTTCGCATTCGCTTTAATTATTGTGTTTACAACAGATTGATTGCTGTTATGAAGCGCAGCAACTCCCTACACGACTCGCCAATTACTCCTTAACGCAAAGCAAACTGCAACAACTATTTATCGAAGAAGTGCCACTTTTCCGCCTGGCTACTGTGATAAAAATTCAATTATTGTTCGAATTTTATTCTCTTCTCCTTTAAGATAATTTGATGTAACGCGAGAAGAATCTTCAAGACTTGGATTCTAGGGTGTGGCATTCTTCGAGCCAGAGATCTTCTTTCTTCTCTTAATTCGTAGCTCCATTCTCGGTAAACAAGCGAGACAAACCTGATAAACTTGTACCCATCTTCTACTAGGCACATAAATATGTTTTATTCAAACTCCAGTCCTTAATCTCCTATACAGATCACTGCTTTTTTCAACTTGGAAGCCAGCAAAAATAGAAAATCCGGAATTCTACGAGAAATCCCAATTATCATCTACGTAATTATCCGAAATCGTAATGAATTTTTAAAGATAATCATCCACTCTTTTGGGCTTCGTGCGAAATTCATTTTTATCTTGTTCGGCGGTTGGGAAATTATTAATTAGCTCGGGGCTTATTATTTATTAGCTTCGACGGGCCTCTTTAGTTATTGGGTCGCTGTATCCGAAGGTGGCGCATCTATCCATCTGCTTTGACATTTATTGAAGTCATTATTTATTGCAAACAACATGCAAACACGACTATTTTCTAACCCCCCTATTTGATCTGTTAATAGCTTACTAAGAAGTTACTTTTGCCTTTTTTTATTAAGCTAAAACTGCTAGTTGTGTCTCCTTCCCCGCTCTTCTCTCTTCAACTATCTTTCTCGAAGCTGCCGCTCAAAGGAAGGAAGAGGGATGAATGCGATAAAGGAAATTTTCTTTCTTTTTTATTTTTTAAACCAAGAGCCTTTTTTGAAATTATCTTATTCTTTGTAAAAATCTTTATATCGATTGTTGAGATGAATTTCTTTACAGAGTTGTTCTCAAACGATTAATCGAATCTCTTTCTCATCGGAATTTTAAAGTAAATTGTCGAGATGAAGAAGATTAATCAGTCTTCTCGGAAGAAATAAAAGACAAAACTTAAATAAAATAAATTTTCTTTCCATTTTTACTCATTTTTTAATTTTTTCTTTTGTGTTTAATTCCATATTTAAAGCGTTTCTAGTTAAATTCCCTAACGAGGATCTAATGTATTTCCAGAGTTAAGTGTATAAAGGTAAGCGCAATTCATTTAAATATGCTTAAAAGTTTTCCTAAAAATCTATATTAATTCTTAACAACGTTCTAATGAATTTATATAAATTAAAATTCTTCGTTTTAATATAAAAAATTTTGCTCGTAAGTTGCGTAAACAATTAACACCAAGTCTATGTTAACGTCTGTAAGTAACATGCAATTCGAAGATATATTATGTTAAATTGATGTCAATAATTTAATATTAATTTACCGTACATTCCACCCTAAATAAGATTCTGATGACGACAATTAAAATTTAATAAGCGTCATTAGCAAAATTACGAAACGACAATAGATCTATTATACTGAGTTATTATTATTTTTTTAGAAATTTTAATTGAACAGTCAGCATGAATAAGTCTAGTCATTTTTTTATAATAATAAAATCTCGAGTTTTAACATTTCTATAAATATTTAAAAGAAAAGATCATTATTTAATAAAAAAAAACTTCCATTTTATGGCTAGTTTAATTTTATGTAGAAATTGGGCTTTTGATCCTTTTCGGGAGCCTTTGTATGCCCAACGGATGTTAATATTTTATTCAATTTTTTTCAAAGACTCGTGCTCCGTAGATACAATACCGAGAGGGCCTTTATTCGTGTTCATTATAGGTTCGGGTGGGCCCACTGGAAGCGCAGAGAGTTTTTATTCCCGCTCGTCACTGAATCGATCGGGCTTAGGCTACTATCGACACTAATGTGGCTCTTGTTTATTTAATTATAGGCTCGACTAGGCACAATCGGCACTTTTTAGTGCATATCGCGGGTCTGGCCTTTCTATATTGGCCAAGAATCCTTCATTCGTGCTTACCGTAAGTTCGACCAGGCCGGCAATGGAGCGTCCGGGGAAGAACGGAACCAGAAGACTGTTTCGATTCTCGAGAACCCCACTCGATTCGATCTCGGCCTTTCAAAGTGGCAGACACGCGCCTTATCCTAGGCCATCCCTACAGAATTGGAACAGAAATTATATTATATCATTTTATATAATATAAGATGGATTTATAAGTCGAATTTTGTCATTTTCAAGTATAGAAACTTCATTCTATACTTGAAAATGACAAAATTCGACTTATAAATCCATCTTATATTATATAAAATGATATAATAATTAAATCAAAACTCTATGTCAAAGTATTAGGTCTTTTCAACTTACTTATCAGCCGAACCGGCATCGTATTATATAGTCTAATAATACTTTTAATTTTTAAGCTTCGCAACTTGTAAAGACAAATATTTTATATTGGAAATATAAACAAAATAGTTTATAATGAAGAAAAAGAAGTCAATGAAGGTAAACGTTTTAATGTGAACGAGTCTTAAGTTACTTTTCAAGCATCGGCATACAATTACATTAATTAATGCCAAGCCATACTCGATATTCCCGTAACCCTATAAAAATAACCTAAGTGTACAAACTACATACTTACAGTAATTCCGTTTGTCAGTAGCCGATAAAGCATTACGAACATTAATTTAAGCACAAAAATCAAGCTTTATTCTCCATGTTCCTTACACTACAAATATTTGAATTACACGCCATTTTGTGCGGGCAAGAATGCCTGTAAATTAAGGGTACAGTATTTAAGTATCCCGCATATTAAGCATAGCGAATTATGATTAATGGATTTGATGTTTTTATCCCTTCGCCGATACCATAGCTTGCTTTTTTTTATTAAAAAAACCGTTCTAAAAGGAATATAAATCTTATAAAGTGATTTTTAATAGACTTAAAAGTACATCCGAGGAAGAAAAAAGAAAAATAGAGAGAGAGTCCGTCCCTAGTCGGAAAATAATTGCAATTGCAAAGAAGAAGCAATCTAGAAAGAAGAGTGTCTTCCGTGAAAACACGCTACAACGATACACAAAGGTTAATTCTTAGAGAAACCAGCGAACATGTCGGAAACAATTTTGAACACATGTTCGATGCGAACAACCATCCGATTTAAATAAATCTGCTGCACAGGAATCGATGGCAATGGAATTGTGTGCATCTCCGGGGAATAGCCAACCCAATCTGGCTAAACGGGCTGAATATCCAAGGAATAGGAAACGGTGATTCGTTTTCTTGTCTTATTTCCAACTGTTCTTTTATTATCTCTGCAAAATCGATGCCATTCGACTCTTCTCTAATATATTCCAACAGAAGCTCTTTTCGGTAGAACTTGCACAAACCGATACTTTTTAAACTCCCCATCGTCCATCCCATCCGAGAAATTCCTACCTTCTTTACGTTTGTTCGCCTAGCAAAATACCACAGTCGACTCCACCGCAATCTCTTTACAGCGGCCACCGTACAGCCTGGGCTGCGCCTCAAACACTGTTGGCCTGCATTAAATACTGCACGTATGCATCCGAGGGGTAGAGTTTCGCAAACGAAGCTACTTCTAGCCTTTGTTTAATGTACTGACCGGTACAATTCACCCAAAGAATCTTTAAAAAACCTACTTTAATTGCGACTCGAACCATTGAC